TCAAGTCGCTCGCCGGCAGCACTTGGGGCAAAGACAAAGAAACGTTGCTGGCAACATACAAGGCAATTGGCCGACCGGTTCTAAACTATGCTGCGCCAGTTTGGACGCTTGTCAGAACGCCGCACTCCGGACAGCGACTGGGTGCCTTCTGATGACGCCTGAGCACCACCTGCACAGCGAGGCCCAAGCGCTCCCCGTAAGGGAACACAATAAAATGCTCTGTAAGCAATTTCTGGTGGGGTGTCACAGAAGTGAACACCCTAACAGACCGTTGCTTCAGGAGGAGCCTCCGCCCAGGTACGTCAGGGGGCACCTATTCGTGTACAAGGACGCAGTCCAACTGTACGTTGACCAACCATTGGACCCGACGACATACAGACGAGCCATCAACGACATTCATAGAGAGTCAGTTACCACCTACCTCGACTCTCGACCTATGAATGCCGTAATACGAGCCCAATCACCACCAGTACAAGAGACGGAGCTTCAGCTGCCACGAGAGACCCGCGTTACCCTGGCTCAATTACGGTCTGGATACTGTAGCCGCCTTAACAGCTACCTGTCCAGACTTGACCCCAATATCCCCAACGAGTGCCCGGCATGTGGAGAGTCCGCCCACGACACCAACCACCTCTTTACATGCCAGCTCAATCCGACTCAGCTAACACCCCTCTCCCTCTGGTCCGAACCCATCGAAACAGCTCGTTTCCGCGGCCTCCCGTTAGTTGAGCTTGACGAAAATGATTGAACGTAGACCCGAAAAAGGCGGGGCTTAGTAGTGCCGCTACAACAACAACAACAACAGCAAGACGAACTCGACAAGAAAAAGAGGAAGCATCGAACAAAAGGCAGTGTTGCCAAGTTTTGAATTTGAAAAAGCACCAAATTTTTATTGGTATAATTTATGGACTTTATATGAATACATAGTTTTATTGTAAGGATGCCGATTAAAAGTAATATGAAATCAATGTTTCTTGCACAACGGTCGATTTCTTCTGGCACGATTGAAGGTGCTGCACATATTTCGTTGTCGCTTATGATTGTCACTGTGCCATGATTTTGTTTAAATTTTTGTAAAATTGCTTACCACACTTACGAATACTATAAATTTTGCTTCCATTTTTTTAAGATTTTCTAATTTGATGTCTTCAAACTAAAAACAAAAGCACCAAAAACGCACCAAGCACAAAACTCAAAAATTTTCGCCTTTTGAATACCCACTAAATTCGGTGCGAAAAGCATCAAGTTGGCAACAGTGAATGTAAACAAAAGTATTTTATGACGTCAGCGATTGGGTGGATGCTGTCAAGTCGACGAAGAGAGGGTTAGCGATCCGCGAATGGCGCGTCCTTTATTTTCTGGATCGTGCGTTGCATGCACATTGGCTTTCATTTTCATAAAACATCTAACAATGTTTAGAAGAATTTTTCTACAAATACACATAATATAATGAAGTTGAAAAAGCTATTAGTCATTATTCCAAGTCCTTCCAAAAGAGGTTATTTATATTTTACTAGAAAAAAAAATTTAATGGTTTTTTATAATGCAAACGAGCAAAAGTATTAAACATTTTAGTGCATTAAAATTTTTTCATTAGCATTAGCTTGGATAATTTAATGAAAAAAAAATTTCATTAGCATTACATTTTTCAGAATTAATGCATTGAAATATTCATTTGCATTCAATTTCATAAATTAATGCATTAATTTTTTACATTAACATTATTGCTTTAAATACCATTAATGCATTAAAAAATCAATGCATTTTTCACAACTCTGGTACATAGTACATTTGAATCAAGTTTCTATAAAGTCTACACATAGTATTTTTGTTCGTCTCTATACAAGATTAAAAAAAATAATCTTTTTCGTGTTTGTATAATTGTTATAAGGCCATAAAATAACAAAAACAAATAACTTAAGGACGAGCACACCTAAAAGTTAAACATTCTAAAAATAGAATTATTAACAAAAACCAACAAAACCAACAACCACATGATCAAGTGTAAATCGTAGCGGAATAGCTGCGCTTGATTGTGTTGGCTTAGCAAAAATGAAAAAGTGGGAAAAAAGCAACGATAATTTACAAGTCGGACTAAGCACAGTGCGTAGGCAACTGGCTGAGTCAGTGGGATCGTCGGTTCGAATCCTACTGAAAGAAGTCTGATGAGGAAATGTGGTGATTTCCGAAATAGCTATCACTTCTACCATTTTCTCAAATTATTGTTGCTTTTCCACAATAAGTTTTTCATTAAAAACGGCCTCGAACTCAATAAAAATTGTTGAAAATAATCTTTTTCGATAGATTGTCACAATACTTATGTAAAATATTTTTCTTCATGTACAAACATACATATCGTCGTTTAAAGTACAAAACCGCGTATCAATAAAATGCAAAACCGCGTATGTGAATTATGTAAAATATTTTTCTTCATGTACAAACATACATATCGTCGTTTAAACTACAAAACCGCGTATCAATAAAATGCAAAACCGCGTATGTGAATTATGTAAAATATTTTTCTTCATGTACAAACATACATATCGTCGTTTAAACTACAAAACCGCGTATCAATAAAATGCAAAACCGCGTATGTGAATTATGTAAAATATTTTTCTTCATGTACAAACATACATATCGTCGTTTAAACTACAAAACCGCGTATCAATAAAATGCAAAACCGCGTATGTGAATTATGTAAAATATTTTCTAGTAAAAACACTCATGTTTTAAAATGGTTCTCTTTTTGATAAAGCAATCGCATTTCTGGCTAGTATATTTCAGGACGAATGGATAAGCATTGAGTCAAGAGCTTATGTGGGCAAATCCAATTTTTGGCAGCAAATGTCAGTTACGCGGTTTTGCAGAATATGTATGAATGCGAATTACATGATTTTTCGGTTATTGACAATAATAAAAAGCAAAGGTATGAAACCAAATGGCATTTTTTTAAGTTTTTTCCAACTTGATACTTAAATAAAAATTTGTGATACATTTGATTCATTTTTTATCTCTTTTACGATATATTTTTTCATGACGTCGCGGCAACACTGGTTATCAATACATAATTGTTGTTGCCGATTGCTTTCGTATTTGAAATGTGCTTGTAGTCTTTTCATATACTACTGCCTTATTTGCCGCGTTCTCTAATATTTATAAGCATATTAAAAATTAAAGAAACCATCTTCGGCCAGGAGTAAAGTTTTCACAAAATGGCAAAAAAAATTTACGAATATTCTATAATCTGGCTACTGAACTTTGGATGCTGGCTGCTACTTCTGTGCTGTAATGTTCAGTCCCATCTGAATGTGTATCTGAATCCACAGGAGGTGATGCGGTTATTAGGTGAGTACATTAATCCAAGTAGAAGTACCGGGAAAGTTTTCCTTAAAATCTGTGCAAAAATGAAAAAACGAAAAATGAGGGCGGGTAGAGGAGCTTTTTCTGATTCTAAAAGTGAAGACCCCACCTAGCGGAGGCTTATAGTTATTAAGTAATTTGTTGTTAAAGTTGCCAAATTCACCATACAAATTTCATCGATCACATACAAGGGTTGTAAACGAACATGATGCAATAATACAAGGTGTTATTGGTTGGCAACTTCTCGCTCTAATTCCGCCATATTCAAGTTAGCACTACATTTTTCGAAATTGGAAAAGTTTACTACAGCATTAATTGTAGTGTTTTTGTTGTAAATTTGTTGTGGAAAGAAAAAAATTGTAGCTCTCAGTTTTTAAAAAATATGGTATGTAGTGCTAACTTGACACCATACACCTAGTCGATAGAATTGAGATATCCAATATGTTACTATGCCATTAATTGTAGCTTTTAACTTTAAAATTTGTTGTGAAAAGAAAAAATT